TATGACTAACTGTGGACACTAAAATGTCTCCTTGAAACCTAGGCCAGAGGTGTTGGAGTCCTTACTAGTAAGTGATTTCAGCTCCTGGTTTAGCAGTTGTGTGTTTAGTGGAGTGACCTTGAGAGCAGACCCTGTAGCTCAGTAAGTGGGAGAACTTCAGCTGGTCTTTGAAGAGGTGATGTCTAGCACCATTGAGAAAGTCAGATTGTGTGGAGTATAGAGTTTCATTTTTAAATTTGCTTTGACAGGATCCCTGGGTGGCGCAGCGGTTTGGCGCCTGCCTTTGGCCCAGGGCGCGGTCCTGGAGACCCGGGATCGAATCCCACATCGGGCTCCCAGTGCATGGAGCCTGCTTCTCCCTCTGCCTATGTCTCTGCCCCTCTCTCTCTCTCTCTCTGTGTGTAACTATCATAAATAAATAAAAATTAAAAAAAAAAAAGAAAAAAAATAAATTTGCTTTGACAGGGAAAAAGTCTGTTAGGGTGAAAACAAGGAATAGAATGAGTAAACTCAGGGCCGTGCTAATTCATATTGCTGAATAATTACAGATAACATGCAATCTGATTTGGAAATGTTTGGTCTGTGGTGTTTCATGTAAAAGAGCCTGAGGATAACATCATAGGCTAAACGGTCACACACAGGAGATAGGTGTATAAGGAAAATGAGTGATGCAGCCAGGTGGGAACTTTGAAAAGAAGGTACCCAGGGAGTGGCAAGGGGCATTCCATGACAGCATCAGCCAGTTATCCCCACTCAGGAGAGCTGGCCCCGGTGGCCACATTTTTTAACTTTCCAAGAGAAAAAGGAAATGTGGAATTTTATGTGAATCTTCCCACCTTTTAAATATTAGCAACAAATTCCTTTTTTCCCCTAAGATCACTAAAGTAATAGAGATAGTGAAGTGGACTGTTTTAGGCCTGTGGACTTTGTTTGTAGTGAGGGTCAAAGAGTAGAGGATAGCCCAGAGGTTATACATGGAGTTGCTCTGGTGCCAGGCATGGCACCTGGCATGGAGCACATGCTCAGCACGTTTTTATTGAGTAAATAAATGGGGCAAACCTCTGTTGGTTGTCTTTCCATGCGCAAAATGGAGAGATTGGAGCTGGCCTTCCCTCCACTTAGAACTTGCATTATCCTCCTTGCAGGGCCCTCTCTACTCTGTTCTTTTCCCTTTTGTGCCCTTTCCAAGCACCTAGGGTGCTTAGGGGTTCAAGCCCCTAGATTTTAAGAAGGTTTAAGAAATAAAAAAATTCGGGATCCCTGGGTGGCACAGCGGTTTGGCGCCTGCCTTTGGCCCAGGGCGCGATTCTGGAGACCCCAGATCGAATCCCACGTCGGGCTCCCGGTGCATGGAGCCTGCTTCTCCCTCTGCCTGTGTCTCTGCCTCTCTCTCTCTCTCTCTCTCTGTGACTATCATAAAATAAAAAAAATAAAAATAAAAATAAAAAAATTCATGTTATGCTTTGATACAAGAGTGACTCAGTTCGGCCTGCTTTTCTTTCTTCTATCATGGCTAGGGCATTTTTGTTTAATTTTGACATACTTGACTGTACAATAAGTGATCCAGATTACAGCGAGGCTCTCTGAGTCTTAAAAGTACATAAAAATGTTCTAGAAAATAAGGCCTTTTCTCTATAAATGTTGATATAACACTGCTCATGTAACAGTGTGGACTTTTCTCTGTTTAAAGGTAATGAAAGGACTTTTCCAAACCCTTGGGCAGTCCACAGAACCTTCTTTTACAACAAATTCTGGTGATATCTGCCCTTTTAAAAACAAAAGTTTTTGCTCTCTTGAGCAAGATTATTTTTGTTGCACTTATCAAGAATCAATTAAAAAACATTTAAGCTCAGAATAGGGAGCCTTTTACTTTATAGGTCCGTGAATTCTTAAACCCTTTGGGAAGGAAACGCTTTGGGCCTCTGGAAGACCATACCTGAGACAGGGAAGTCCAAGACCCATCCCTGACAGGAACTGGTTCCCTTTCTGTCCTCTGGGATTTAGTGGCCTCCTAGGTTAGATTTGTTCTGAGCACTGTGTTTATTCTTCTCTTTGCTGACTGGCTTTTTCCTATAGACTGAGAGTGCATGGGGGTAGCTTGCAGCCTAGACCAGAGTTGACCCTCTTTTTTTTTTTTTTTAATAAATTTTATTTTATTTTATTTTTTTAATTTTTATTTATTTATGATAGTCGCAGAGAGAGAGAGGAAGAGAGGCAGAGACATAGGCAGAGGGAGAAGCTGGCTCCATGCACTGGGAGCCAGATGTGGGATTCGATCCTGGGTCTCCAGGATCACGCCCTGGGCCAAAGGCAGGCGCCAAACCGCTGTGCCACCCAGGGATCCCTAGAGTAGACCCTCTTCATTCCAATTCTAGTTCCAAGGAGAACAAATGGAATGTCTCAGATTAGGTCATGTGTCCAACTTTGGCCAAAACAAAGGAGGAGTTTGGAGTTGCATAATATAAATACCGTTTGGCATAGAGTTGAGAATTACATAGTAGTTAGAAAAAGGATCACCATGGGCTAGGCAGCTCTTAGAAGAAAGGCATCTTCTGTAATCTTGCCCCCTGCTCCTAAAAAAAGAATAAGTAGATTTATGCTTCTCAAGACTTTGGAGAAACTCAAGTTACATCTTTTTTTTTTCTTTTTTAAAAGATACATTTATTTATTTTGGAAAGAATCTCAAGCAGATTCCCCTGCTAAATGTGGAGTCTGATGTGGGGCTCAATCCCAGGACCCCATGATCATGACCTGAGCCAAAACCAGGAGTCAGATGCTTAACTGACTGAGCCACCCAGGCACCCTTATATCTTTTTTTTTATTTCTTTCTCTCCCATCTCAGTCATTTAAAAATTATCTTATTAAAAATTATATTTATTGACTATTTGTTACATATTAGGTGGTGAATGAATAAAAGCTGTCCAGTTTTATGTTTCTATTCTTAGAACATGCTCTTCAGTCTTCCCCTTAAACAATTTCTTTGTCTTTTCAAAACAAAATTAAGTTGCTGTTTAGCCGGTATGGTGTACTGGTAAGGGAACTAAATTACATCATAGGCCTCCATTCTAGTTCCAATTCCAAACCGTTTATTTACTGGGTAATCTTGAACAAATTATGACCTCTCTCAGTCTGTTTCCTTGCAAGTAAAATGAGGATCATAACAACAGCTCTTTTGAGAATAGTATTCTTGTGAAGATAAAAAAGAAGATATACAAACATACGATAGTTGTCTTTCTGCCCCCATTCTAAGAGAAGTTACTATTTTTAACTGCTTATTTTTAGTAACTGCCACTACCTTTTTTTCCCTCTAAGAATAGAGTCTCCCTTAAAGCATTTTTAAGGTATGCAGGCTAGTAAATGAGGAATTCTTTTAAAGGTAAATGCTATCTTGGGGGCGATTTCATGGCACCCAAAATCTGATGACTTCCGTTGGATACTTTGGAGATATGCCTGAATGTCCTGATGGAAAATGGAAAAATAGCTTGACCTAATGAAATCCTATCAAGCACAGAGTATAATCTGCTGCCAGTGTTGTTCCATCTCCAATCTACTCTGAAGGAATCACTGTCAGCGGACTGAATGGTTATCTCTAACATAACATCTTTATTGGCTGTCTATCCTGGTAATTTGTAGCTTCCTTTGAGTGATTTTGCATAGCTGTAAAGTGTTTAGGATGCAAAGAAATGAATTTTGGCTCTGGACAGACATGTTAAGCTAGATAGTGGCTTTTATTGGAAATAAGGCAGAAAAAGAACACTAAAATGGAAATCAGAGAAAAATTTTAAAAGATAGGGGACTAGGAAGGAATTAGAAATCTAGAGAAGAGACACATCTGGCTTATAAAGATTGGTGGAATGATTACTGAACGCTTACATTACTGAATAACATTTTGTGGGTGAATGAAACCGAAACTGTTTTAAAAAGGGAGAGGGAATGGATGTGATCCACGAATAACTTAGAGCCAGTAAAGATAATTATGAATAAATGTTTGAAACATGGCATAGAATTTCAACTGCTGACTTTCAGAGATGCTTTATTATCTGATGTCTCAGACCATAGAAATGTTTGGCTTACTATCTCAGAGTATATGAAAGTAAATAAAAGTTAAACAAAACAATCTTCTTGCCACCCAACCTTGGTATATAGCTTGTGAGGATTATAGGACGAAAATGTATTAATAGTGAATTTTTCTTATGAAGTAAGCCTGCCTTGTGCTCTACACCCTAACAGCATCTGCTTCATAGCTGTGTCATTACCTATATTTGCCGTTCTTTCTCTTGTGCTGCCTGTCAAACTTGAAAACTGGCTTTCTAACTCTAATTTGTTAACCTTCACTCTCTTGATTCCTTAACTCCATGCTCCTCTCCAAATTAATTTTAATAGTAACCACATTCTACTTGAAATATGTATGTGTGCATATGTATGAAAATATGTGCATGATGGAACACATAATTCCCTTGTGCTTTTTAGGAGAATGGTTTAATTGAATTTTTGCTTTCTATTTGTAGTGTTATGAATTGCTTTTTTTAAATTGCTGAATAATAAAGGGTAGAGTGAGCTCTCCAGATAGTAATTTCATTCAGTGTGTGTGTGTGTGTCTGTGTGTATGTTTTAAATTTGTGATACTGACAGGTTTCATAGGAGCAGACTTTCTGAATAACCATTTCAAAAATTAAGTGAAAAGTCATTAGTGGCAAATTACACACAATAATTTTAAGCCCCAGGAGGCTGACTCTATGTACACATTGAATAGTCATTTGTTCTTACGTTATTGTAAATATAGCCAATTAAATTCACTGTAAAAAAAAAAACCCCACAAACACACAACTGAATTGCATTTGTTGTAAAATTGGTAAAGTGCCTCTAATTTTAACACTTCGGCATTTCAAAACACATAATAATTTTGGAACATCTGGCAACTAATGAGATTGTAGATTTCTGATTAGCTTTATCAGCTTTATCCATTGTTTCATCCTTTTTTTCCTTTTCTGTTTTTGTAGATCTGAACAGAATTAAGAAGAAAGAGCTTCCACAATCACAGCAGATGAAGATCCACTGGTAAATCGATTAGGATTTTTGGCCTGCCCTCCAAAGTAAAGGTAACTGACTATCCCAACAAAGCACAGACAAATAAATGCAATGCTTCTGGTTATAATAGAGTTTGACTTTTATAAAAGGATGATAGTTTTTAAAATTCAGGATATCTGAGTAAGATCTTCGGTATAACCCTGAATATGAAGTTTCAATGAATTTAAGAGTACAATATAATTTGGTGTGTGTTTGTCAAAAGAAAAAGTGCTAAGTAACCATCCTCCACTTATCAACACTGTAGGAGGATTTTGGAGATAGGAACATTTCCTCCCCTCCGTCCATATCTACCTTTTCCTAACAATTTGTCCAAAGGCATGCCCTTGTGTTTCTCTTCAGTTCTATTTTTCCTCACTCCTGTTTTCTCTGTCTGCAAACAATGTAGAACCAGCTACTCAGAGTTGGGAAGGTCCTAAGCAAATTGTAAAATAAGCAGGAGTTCTTCAGCCACATGCTCTGGGCCTAGTGCCTTTGCCCAGACTGCCAGGCAGTGTGTGCTCATGAGCAGTCCTAGATCACTATTAATTGAGTTTCTTACTACATATTTGCAGTTGTGCATTTACTATTTGAAGAGGAGGGTGCTAAGTTTTACATACTGTGAAAAAAGAAGGAAAAAAAAAATCCACCTTTCCATCTACTCCTGAAAGGAATAGGGAGCTTAAGTTTAAGTAGTTTAAGATGAGTTGCTGAGGGTTAAAACTGAACATGATTTAAAAAGTGAAGACCAAAGGTGTTTCAGCTTCTGAAATTGGTCAGCTTGTATATTTAGGCAAAAAATGAAATGCTTTAATCAGGTTTAGGCAACTGTAGCAGGGATGGAAACATTTTGAACAACATGACCATGAATCTTCAAAGATAACATTTTGAACATTACCAACAGAAACAGGAGCTTCAGGAAGGATGTAGCAGTTCTGTTTAGGTACTTAGAACAAGTGACTGGATAGCTCTGGAGTCCCTACCTTTAAAAGAGGCCTTAAAATTTTCTGACCTAAAGCTAGAAGGCCAGCGATTCAGAAGTACCCTTCAGGGATCATCAAAGTCATCACAAAGGATGGCATTCATTGTGGAATGTCTGGAAAGTACCAGACAAGAAAGAAGCAGCGTTTTCCTAGATGGTAGTGAGCAACTGGTAGTGGTAGAGGTTGGGTTAGGGTGGGGAAGGTGGGGAGAAAACACATTTGACAGAAATGCTAAAGGATCTTTTTAATCTGTAGTTGTTTATTGAGCTTCTACTATGAGCAGAGGGATTGTCCCTCAGGAAGACAAGAGACTAAGAGGTGGTTTTCACAGGCTACAATTATGACATCCTTTTTTGAATAACATTCAGATGGAAAGATTAATTTGATACCGGGAAGTCAATGACCAGGGGCAGGGAAGGAAGAAGTGTAACAAACTCAAGTCTGTAGGAAGAAGTGTGACAGACTCAGGTCCAGACAGGTAGAGGAATGAAATGGGCCAGGTAGAATTGGAAGGAACTGTCAAAATCATGGACGGTTTTAAAGGGCAGCCTCTTTTCAGTGCCAGCAGATTATAGACCCAATACCCATTCAACAAATGTTTTTTGAGTGCCCACCTATGTCATGCTGTGCTCTCTGGGCATTGGGGATTAATTAGTAAATCAAAAGGATAAAAGTCCCTGCCATTGTGCTACCTACTTTTTCATGGAAAGAAGCAGATAATAGAAAGTCTAGTAAGTAAATATGTTATACTAGATGATGATAATTGGTTAGACAAAGCAGGTCAGGGTAATGAGAACCAGGTGTGCTGATGAGGGGTGGCACTGCAGTGTTAAATTACGGTGGTCTGGGTAGGCTCTTTGGGAAGGCGAGACCTGCACATTCCGTGCAAAGGCCTAAAGCAGGAGCCTCCTGGGCTGTCCAAGAAGGGTGAGGGCTGGAGTTCGTGGGCAGGCAGAAAGGTGGGAAATCAAGTCAGGTTCAAGGCCATCCAGCGGGCCGTGGCTTTTATTCTGTGAGGAGTGGGAGGCCACTGGAAGGCTCTGAGTAGAGGAATGACTTGCTCTGACTTCTGTTTTAATAAAACTGCTGCAGCCATGCTATTGAGATAGGCTCTAGGGGGCAGGGGTAAAAACCAGTTCAGCTGTGGTTAGTGTAATAATCCAGGCAAATTTTTAAGGGAACTGAACTCGATTTCAATTATTTTTCATGAGTTTTTTCAGTGTTAGCAACTAATTTAAGAAAACAGTTTGAATAAACCTAAATAAGTCCGTGGGGGCTCTGCCATGTGCTGGAAGTTTGCTATGTCACCTATAGAAGTATAGAAGGCATTCAGAAAAGAGGAGAACTTCGGACAGGCTGATTGATGGTGGTGGGGGGTTGGAGTTGATCTGAAACTCAGGTGAGGGCTTGACTTTGTTTAGCAGGTAAAACTGAAGGAAGGGAAAGATAATGGCATGCAACTGTTCGTGGTAGCTGAGAGGTGGCAACAACCCAAATGCTCATCGCTGATGAATGGATGAAGAAAGTGGGGTACATCCGCACAGTGGGCTCTTTAGCCATAAAGAGAAATAAATTATAGATATGTGCTCCAGCATAGATGAATCTTGAAAACATTATGCTGAGATAAACCAGACACAAAAGGCCACATATTGTGTGGCTTTAATTATGTGAAATATCCAATATAGGCAAATCTATTGAGACAAAAACAGATGTGGTTTCTAGGGCCTGGGGGAGGGATGGGAGATGGGGAGTGACTGCTTAATGGGTGCAGGGTTTCCTTTTGGGGTGGTGAAAAAGCTCTGGAGCCACATAGTGATGATGTAGCACCCTGTGAATATATTAAATGCCACTATGTTATACACTTTAAAATGGTTAAAATTGTGAATTTTATGTTATGTGAATTTTACCTCAATTAAAAAAAAAAAAGAATGGCATGCAGAAAAACATTTGAGGCATGTATATTTTAGGTCCTGTTCAGCTCAAGAGGAGCCTTTGTAAGGGGGACTGATAGGTGATAAAGCTGGAAAAAGGGTGTTGGGCCAGGTAATGAAAGGTGTTGCCTGCTGAACCAAGGAGTTCAGAATCTCTTTTATTGGCAGCTGTAAAACATAGCTGTATATATTTCATGAGAAAGAATGAGACTGAAGAGAGCCTGGTGCTTTGGGAATCCCAGCAGTAGAATTTTGTGACAATCCTACAGAGGTCTCAAACAAAATTAATTTAGAGTTTCTCCTTGAAAAAATATCCATATTATAGTTCCTGATCTTATAAAAGGTTGTTGTTAAAAAAAATTAAGGTACCTATGTGAGCGGATGGAATGTGTCAACTAACCTTTTTGTGGCAATCATTTTGCAATAAGTATGTCAAAATATGTACATCTTAAACTTACATAATGTTATGTTAATTATATTCTAATAAAACTGGAATGATCGAAACATTATATAAATATGTATAATAAAAAGTCCCTTTAATTACATTCTTTCCTTCCTTGTTCCCCATAAGTCCAGAGTTATCTAGACTGTTTTCTATGTATAGACTTGTCATCCTTATCATTATTACTGTTACACAAAAATAAGCACATATTGTGGACAGTATTTTGTATGTTGCTTTTAAAAAATTTTACGACTGTCTTTCCATTTCTTTTGGACTCCTACATTATATGCTATACTTTGATTTGTAAAAACAAAAAATGAAAAGCAAATGCTATTTATATTATAAAAAGGATGAGATATCACAAAATATAAAATAGCTAACACTTAATGAGTTAAGTGTTACAGTTATGTGACAAGTGCTGTTCTAAGCATATTACATAAAACTGACTCCTTATAACACTTGATAAGGTAGGATACTGTTATGATACTGCAGAGATGAAATGTAGATACTGTTACAATCCTCCTTTTACAGAGGAGCTAACTGAGGCAGAGACAAAAACCTGTCCTTGTCCTGTTAAGGTCCAGAATTAGGCAGTGGCAGAGATGGGCTCCAGGACAAGTTTTAGCTCCCACTGATGGTTGTCCTGAGGGAACTTGTGGCCAATGATGTGAGATCATAGAGATTTCTCAGAAGTCAATCTGGAATTTTGTGTGAAATTTTCCAAGTTTAATGCTGGCTTTTTTTTTTTTTTAATATTTTTAAAAAGACTCTTTGAGAGAGTGTGTGTGTGTGTTCGCGAGAGAACATGAGCAGGGGAAGGGACTGAGAGAGAGAAGCAGACTCCCTGCTGAGCAAGGACTTGATCCCAGGACCCAGTGATCATGATGTAAGCTGAAGGCAGACACTTAACCAATGGAGCCAACCAGGCGTTCCCCCCCCAAAAAAAAAAATAATCTTATTGAAATAAGAATCAAATACCACGGATTTACCCATTTAATAGTTTTTAATATATTCATAATGTTATATAACTGCCACCTTTCTAGGTCTAAACATTTTCATCACTCCCAAAGGAGAACCCTGTTTCCATTAAGTAGTACTACTCAGGACCCTTTGGTCCTGAGAGCCACTCATTTGTTTTCTGTTTCTACAGATTTGCCTATTGTGAATATTTTATGTAAATGGAATCATATTATATGTGGCCTTTTGCATCTGGCTTCTTTTACTTAGCTTGGTTTTGAGACACATCCATGTTGTAGGGTATCAGTACTTTACTCCTTTTAATTGCTGAATAATAGTCCATTGTGTGGATGTGTACAATTTTATTCGTCTGTCAGTTGATGGGCACTTGGATTGCTTCTGTCTTTTAGCTGTTGTAAGTAAAGCTGTTATGAACATTGATGGACAAATCTCTGAGTCCCTGCTTTAGATGTTTTGAGTATACCTAGAAGTAGAATTATAGAATCTTATTGTAAGTCTGTATTTAACCTTCTGAGGCACTGTCAGACTGTTTTCAATGTGGATTGTACCATTTTACGGTCCTACCAGCAATGTACAGGAATTCCAATTTTCCCATATCTTTGCCAAGACTTGTTATTTTCTGTTTTGTTTTGATAATCAACATCCTAATGAGTGGGAATTGGTATCACATTGTGGATTTTATATGTATTTCTCTAATGATA